CACTACTTGCATTGGAACTGTCACTATCTCCCCAGCAAACTGCCCTATCTGTAACAAAAATTGGTCAGATTGTGAGAAGACTTACTCGCCTACCTCAAGGACAACAATATGATATCAGTACAGTGCTACTCCATTCCCCCCATAGGTCATCATAAGAACCTCACTAACATTGCCAAAATTACTTTCTATAGACATGACCTTCACTTTAATATTTATATTGGATTGGTGAAGAATCCCTCCCTGTCCAACCATATCACCCTCCTCCCCATCAGTGCCAAAAGTGTTGGAGTTTAGGACATGCTGCCAATCATTGCCACTCCACAGCCAGATGCCCTTAATGTGCCCAACCTGGTTATACTCAATTAAACTGTTCTGCACAGTCGTGCACATGTGCCAACTGTGGTGGCCCCCATAATGTATTTTATAGGGGCTGCCCCACCTACAAATTTGAGTCTGAGGTGGCAACTCTCAGATTCAGACTTGGACTCACTCTGTGTGAAGCCAGACAGGTAGCACATCAACGAGGTTTTTCTCTTACTCCCTACTCCAGTAATGTCGCTCGCTCTACCCTTCCTCTCCCTCCCAAGACGTTCCTACACCCTCCCCTATACCGATCCCTCCTACATCTTCCCCACTTCTACCTCCTACCTTCCTCAGTCATATTCTTTTGCCATTCTTAATCCAGACACTCCAATCTCAACTGCAGCCCCAAAACCTTCCCCTCTCCCTCCCCTCACTACCCGCAGCAGACAGACTAAACATTCCACCCCTTCTTCCACACACTCATCTCCATCTACCTTTGCCTCTACTCCTCAGACACCAGTCCCCTTTTCCCCCTCATAAGAAAACCTTTGTCTCACAAAACTCCCCAACCAACTCCTTTACAGAAACTCTTGAAGATATTGAAAACTATATACATGAGGCCCAACCTGAAACCCCTCATCCACCCTCAAATTTTGCAACTCCGCTCCCTCCATACGTAAAGTGACTGCTGATATCCTACTCTTATTCCCCCTACACCTCTTCCTCCTACTTTCTCCCAACACAACCCATCCCCCCCAGCTCCAGCCCCACCTACATTAACCCTCCCTCCATCCCCTTATCCCTTCCACTCCTGAATACACACATGAATCCCATATGTCACAGCTATGCCCTTCCCCAGATCCTCCACTTCCTGATACCCCTCCTGATAGAACACCACCTCCCCCCCTCTCATTCCTTATCTCACCTCCTAGCTACATCCCCTGCAAATTCTCCAAGACACACTAGAACTGTTACCACTCATAGACCAACTAAAGTGAAGCTCTCCTACATTGGAATATTTGTGGTTTCCATTCTCACAGACCTGACCTTCATCATATCCTTACTTCTTATAACCCATCCATTATCTGCCTTCAAGAGACTTTTATCTCATACTTTCTGCTTTAACAACTTGTTCTCCTTCCTCAGATGCATACATATCCTTCATATGATCTAACCCGACCTTCACCCATTAAGTCATCAACTCCTTTGCCCAGCTTTAACCTCTTCAATATTAATCTAGATAGCTGAAGTATAGTAACTAACCACTAACTCAGTCACCCTTCACTGCCCTTTACTATACCTTCCTTTAGTGCTATATGACCTTAGATGTCTAGCACGTTTATTTTACTTTTAACTATTAACCATTAACCATTTACAAATGCAAAGCAAAGAGAGTTTTCTGGTAATTTTGTATCTGTGTATGAGCATTTATTCCATGCAGATTTTATATTCTGTTTAATGTGTTAATAACTTCCTTGAGGTGCCACAGGATTCCACAGTTAAATAACACCTTTAGTTTTGTTTCTGTGCTGCAAACTGAAGTGAAAGATTTAGTTTAGAATTTGTCACATAAACCCCATGTGCATTATAGATAAGAGTTTTATAAATTTAGTTTATTTTTTCTAGTTATCAGTTTTCATCTTGCTTTTTGTATTAGTTTGTATTTGAATGTTAAATTACTTTCATCCCTCAAGGGTTTAGCATTTGCATTTGTACATTCAGCCTATGTGTATTTTGCTTTGTGCAGCATTAATTTAGGGACTGACAAAGGTAAATTCATATAAGGTTAGAGAAAAGGACTGAGTAGAGTGTGCCTTCACAAAACATTTGGAGCCAGTAGTTTATTGTAGTAATCAAACCTGTATAAACTATTTGCTAGGAAAGAGAATCTGTGTTTCTTGACTATGAATTAATGATAAGATACTAACTTTGTTGTTCTTTGTCCTAGAACTCAGGTGATGAAGTGACAGTGGGACTCTACCTACCCAAAGATTCTCCCATCCATTTAAGTCTCATTGTCATCTGGTTTCTGGCCATGTTCTCGGTTGTTGTTGGAGCCTATTGGTCTGGGACTGTCCGGCATGAATTGTGAGTTCCCATTTAGTCAAGGCTACTTTATTGATATACAGTATACAGCAACAGATAGATTAATCATGGATTATGGAAATCATGCAATCTTTACACAATATACACAGCTTTTACAAAGTTACACTAGGAAAGAAAATATTAAGATTAGAAAGACCTTTACTCCTTCATGGAGATAACAGTACCAAGATTAATCTGAGCTGTTAAAACTAGTTAAAATGTCAAAACAACTGTTTGTATGATGTGCATAATAGAAGTTCCATGGTAAGGAGTTCTTTTATTTGTGAGAATATTAATGATATCTATAATTGTCTACAATACAGATATTTAGTACAACATGAGCAAGAAGGAGAACACAGAGATGTTGCCCGAGAGCCAGTGTTGCCCCACGAAGAAACCTCTATCAATATGACAGTGAGAAGCATCTTGGGATTTGTAGTCTTGATGTGCATCATGCTGCTATGTCTGTATTTCCTCTATGCTTATCTGGGTAAGTGCTCTGCTTCTATAGATGTAACAGGAAAAACAGCTTGATTCCATGATCTCCCTTACTAGAAGAGCTAGAGCAACTTGATTTTTCCAAAGAAATCAGAATCAGTTCCATATTTTACTAATTGTTTTGCATCATGCTTTTCTCATTCCCAGTGTACATCATCATTGCAATGTTCTGCCTTGCCTCTGCCATTGCTACATATAGCTGCCTTGACCCATTGGTGTCAAGAATGCCCTGTGGCACAACCAGGTGAGAGGCTCTTTGAATATGATAAAGATGGTGTCTGTGAATATAATTGTCACAGTATTATGATATATGATTAAACTAGGACATGCTTTGAAAAATACTAGCATTTTCTGGTTTTACAAATTTCAGGTTTCCCAGGCCCAATAAATATCCTCAAACTAGATCTGCTTTCTAACTGGTAATATTATTAATGTTATTGTGCCAGTCATGCTTATCAAAGACCCCTTTTTGCAGGACTCCATACTTCAACATATACATTGTCCGTGGCACACTGATGATTCGCCAGATCCTGCTTCTGATATTTGCCTTTGGACTGTCAATCACCTGGGTGGTGCTAAGGAAGGAGCCATGGGCTTGGATCCTGCAGGATATCCTAGGAATTATGTTCAGGTACTATTTTTGCCTTTATGAAATTATAAAGTTGTTGTTTCTTTTAGGATGTGTAAGAAAGGATTTTGAAGTTGATGTTGAAGTAATTTACTTTGAGATGTAGATAGAAATGTTCTTGCACCATCTTGATGTTACACATGTTCCGTTATATTGTTTAGAAGATAATGAGATGATTATTGTTGATATATCTTGTAATAGCATTTAGAGCTTTGATTCTGATGCACAGTAGAGGAGCTCTTAAAGATTATTTTCCAAAACTGACTGAAATTTGGAAATTGCCCTCAACCAAATCACCAAAATTCAGAAATTCCCTCAAACAAGTCACATTTATCTTTCAGCATCAATGTTTTGAGAATGATCCGTCTCCCAAGCCTAAAGATCTGCACTTTCTTATTGTGTGGCCTTGTGATCTATGATATTTTCTTTGTATTCATCACTCCACTTCTAACTTCGGTGAGTTGTTCTCTTTCATGATAAACTACTTTGTATTTTAGATCACTTACACATCATGAAGTATTTGATGGAATACTTTTTTCTTTTAAATAGAGTATGAAAACTTATCTGGGCTTCAACAGAACGCACATCCATATCAAGGAGGTAGAATTGTTTTTGCAGCATTTTCTGTTATACTTATGCTAATTAATCTAATGGCATCAAGAAATAATCAGATCACCCTTGCTGCTGTGCTGAGTTTATAGTCATGGTGACCCACACAAGTGTAAGAATTAGAAGTGCAGGATTTTTTTTTTCTCTCTCTCTCTCCTTGTCTTCTTTCCCCATTGACATTGAGTCTAATCAAGCCAATTATTGTTTTTTTTAATAAAAGCATTGGAAAACAAGGGTTCAGGTCAACTTTGGAAGGCTTTCCTTCAATGGTGTTATAACAGTATATAGGTCCCATGTGGCTTGCAGACCCAGCCTTTTGCTGGATGTATAGATGCCATCAGCATAATTTTGTTAATCCACTGATAACAGGATGATGATGTCCAGTCACATCTTTTGACATACTATCCCTCATGCCAAGATGACATTGTCATGCCCTGCACACTTGAGCCCGCTCCAAGTTGTGCACGTTAAATAGTAGTGCACTTGTTTGGCTCTTGGCTGCAGTCATTATGGAGAAACAGACCCTCAAAAGAAGTCTTAAAGCTTCTTTTTAGTTTCATATTCAAAAAAAAAATTTCTGCTACACACAGGAGCAGAGAGAAGGGGGTAATTTAAGGATTCCTCCATCTCTAATTTTCCTCTCAAGCAGTTATGCCACGTGTGGTTTGCTATAGTACTGGGGGCTCCTGTCATGAGTGGGTTAAAAGTCAAATTACAATAAAGAATTTAGATTCCATGCTTCATTTGTTTATAAGTAAAAAGATTTTCCAAGCTCCTTGCTGTTTGATATACATTATCTGGGTAGAAACTTATATTGACTGTATCCTAAATCTTTTTTTTTTTTTACCAAAATAATCATAAAAGCAAATGAAAAGTT